AGCCCAATGCGGGGCTCGATCCCAGGACCCTGGGATCATGACCTGAGCCGAAGGCAGACGCTTAACCATCTGAGCCACCCAGGCGCCCCTCAGGGCCATTTTTAATGCTCAGCGTGACAGCTCTAGCAATACAAAATTATGGCGTAGTATATACCACACCAAGGTATGGATTACAAATTTTCCTTGGTGAAAGGGCAGGGACTTTAACAGTTATATTATACACTGGTGCCCTTAAGGGTTATTGGGATACACACATTCATGTGCGTGCGTGTGCATGTGTGTGCGCAGACATACACACGGGCTGCTCTTACTTTTCTCCCCAAACAAAAAGATAAACATACAAGCACACACTTTATGTAACAGAAAATCAGCGTTTTTATCTGTTGAGAACACAGCAACATGTTGATGAATTCAGTCATTGGTTCATCTATATTATGTAAATACCCAAACTTGGAACTCTGCTCAGGTTCTTTGTAGGTGCTGAGTGATTCAAAGAAACTGAGCAGCATCCCATGTATAGATGGATGAACTAGAGGTCCTAGATCATATTTTCTATGATGTTTCCAAAAGATCAGCACTGTCATCTCTCATGATAGAAAAATATTTTAAAATAGGGTCGCTTTGTTTTGGATACTCTCTAATATCATAGTTAAAAGCACAGGCTTTGTTTCAGGCAGATCTGACACATTAGTTGTAGACTTCAGTTCTTCAGCAACATCTATAAAATTATACTTCTCAAATAGTTTTTGGACCAATTGAATGAGAAACCATACGTTGCAATAGCATCACATGATATTTTTGTGCCTTCACTCACATCATTTCAGAATTAGAGATAACAAAATCTGTTTCTGTATAATTGATATGTTTACTGTCTACCAGTACTCTTGTTACCTGCATTTCAGAAAATGGAAAGATTGAATGAAAAAAAAAAAAAAAAAAGAGTTGATCTAGCATAAATAATCTGGGTGTGGGTATGGGTAGGTGGTTTTTTTCTTTTAGAATGTTACACTGTTGAAAATGTAGAAGGTACTCTGAAGGCTATTGGCTAATTGAAATAAGTGAGCTTACCTTGTATTTAGCTGGTGTAGAAGAAGATACTTGTATTCAGTCTACTAAATAGAGTTGGTCTGATTTCTAGAGAAATTGCTGAGAGAATGCCCAGCCCTCGTTCTTTTCTTCTCCTTGGTGATGCATACATGAATATACAAGAGGTAAAGTTTCTGATGCTACTGAACTCAGATTTTTTTAAAAAATGGTAAAACTCTTTTTTGTGATTGGCTTCATAGTCTCTTAAAAGGAATTTTTAATGTTATTTAATATATGACAATCCAGTCATCACTGTAAAAGGAAATAACCATTACAACAAAAAAGTTGTTTTCAAATTGAGATGCAATTAATTCAGCACTATCATTTGAAATAGAGATGGTACCAGAAGCAAGTTAAGAGAGTCTTTTAAGTGGAAGAATGAAGAGAGCTAGTGGCCAAAATGGTGTTACGCCTACCAGTAGTGACTGTCACCTCTCTGAAACTGTTAACGTTTCTAGACTTAAATATGTGCTTTATTTGTCTCACTGAGTGAATACTCCAGGTATAGAGCTTAATTATAGAAATGTTGTCCTTTAATGGGATCCAGCTAAGCTGTTTATTCATTGCTTATTTTTTGTATCCGCCAACATTAGCCTGAAGAAGCCATAGTAGCGTATGAGCAAGCATTAAATCAGAATCCCAAAGATGGAACACTGGCAAGCAAAATTGGGAAAGCACTTGTTAAAACCCACAACTATTCGAAGGTAAGCACTTTATATGTTTGAAATATGTCTATTGGATTCAATGTTTCAAACCCTGCTTTATGAGAAGTCTTTAGCAAGCACTGTTTACATCCTGATGGTTGTAAACTCCAAATTTATATTCACAAACAGGAATTTATGTTAAAGACTTTCTCAGTGTCTCTTCATCGCTGCATTTTGCCAAGACTATTTGGGCCCTGAAGTTTACTTCCGACATCATCTTACACCTAAACCCTGCAGCCAATTACGATGAAATTGCTGTGGTTGCATCTTTTTCATTCTATGACAAAGCATAACATGTCTTTCTGTTGAACCAGTTTTGATAAGCTGTGTGCTTTTTTTTCCCCTCTCTAGTAGGGGTAATGGATTTTCCTTTAGTTGTCAATGTCTTGTTCTATCCCTGGTCACTACTGAACATATATACAGCCGCTAGCAGAGTATTTGCATTCACTGAAGTTCACTGGCCTCTGGACTAAAACTGGTAAAAACAGTTCCACCAAGCACTTTTCGTTAGCTGCTTTTCATAAGAAATGCTCGTTGCCTCGTCTGATGTTTGATTGTCTAAGAAAAATGGCATACTTAACTGACAGGCAGGTACATGCCTAAGCTTCTCCTAAGTTTTTTCCAATTTTTATATGCTTTAAGTCTGTAATGTATAAAATATCTATGCTTAACACCATTCTCATTGCCTTATTTTCCTAACTGAAATGCATTTTGTTTAGGCAATCACTTACTATGAAGCCGCTCTGAAAAGTGGACAACAAAATTATCTTTGCTATGACCTGGCTGAGCTTCTATTAAAATTGAAATGGTATGACAAAGCAGAAAAAGTTCTTCAACATGCTCTAGCTCATGAACCTGGTATGAAAGTCTTTCTGATTTGAAAAATATATATACCATACCTGATAGGTCTGATCTATTTTATTTTTATATTGTATAAATGTTTATTTGTATTCTCAGTATTATATGTATTTTCAGTATTATATGTGTGAGGTTGATTATTTCATTTATGAGCATGTCACTCTATTAAAATATTTGACTAATAACAGATTTATGAAACAGCTAATTGTGTTATAGAAAGATACTTTACTTTCCAAAATGATATAAAGGGAGTTTCCTTTAAATTACAACTACATCTGATATTTTTATACATCAAGTAAACACCTTTATAATCTTTACTCCTCTTTTAAGTTTTTTTAAAAATTCAACACTTTAAAAGAATATAATGTGTAAGTCTCCAATTTCTCCTGTGAATTCTACTTGCCCTGTTCTCAAACTACCTCCCTAGAGGTAACCATTTTTGTGTTTTAGTGTATTTGTAAATATGTAAGTGTAATATGCATAATTTCCTTTTCAAATGGATTGTTTTTCCCATCCTGTAATTTTTTTTCACAGACAGCATGTGCCAGATATCATTTGATGTTAGTACATTCATATCATTCTAATGCCATCGTAATATTCCATAACTCCATAGTTTTTGTTTTGTTTTGTTTTGTTTATAACTCCATAGTGTTTTTTAAACTTCCCTTCAATTATTGGGCATTTAGTTGGTTTTCCGTTCTTTTGATATTAATAAACTATGTTACAGGAAATATCCTTGTATCTCATTCGTTGGTATATACTTGCTTCTATTTCTTAGGAGCAAGATGCTAAGTCAAAAACTACATGCATTGCAAACATAACTGGATACTATAAATTGCCTTCTTACAAGTTTGCTTTTTAAAGATCTTTATTTTAAATTAAAATCTAGCACTTACTCATCCCCAAAATTTAAAGATTACAGAAGTGAATGCAAGTTGTGTTGTCCCACTCTCCAGAGAAAACCACATTTACCTTGTGTATCATTCTCATTAGTGTCCCCACCATGCCTCTCTCTCTCTCACACGTAATTACCACATTTTTCCTACCAAGATGGGATCATATTATGCTGCACATCTGCAGTAGGCATTTTTCGCTTAGTAGCTTCTCTCCATGTTGGTAAATGTAGTTCTTCTTTATTTTCTTTAGCACAGGTAGAGCATTCTACTATATGTTGATATCAGAATTTATTTGATGAGTCCCCTATTGATAGACATTTAGATTGAAGAAAAGTTGGAGACAGTACTGAGACTGAGTCCTTGTTTATATACCTCTGTGTGCTTCCTAGAATTGAGTCATGCCCCATGGTTCTTTCTTAAGGCCAAAAATGTCCCATAATTGTGTAGTATTAATCAGAGGGGGGAAAAACACTTTAATTTGCATTTTTTTGATGATTGATAAGGCTAGGCATTATTTTATGTCTGTAGATCACATTTTCTTCTAGGATGTTTTTGTTCATATCCTTTGTCTTTGACCCTGAACCTCTGATTCATCATCTGTCACCTGTTACTCATTTGGAGACATTTTTCTCCCAACCTGTTCCTTTTTTTGTTTTTTTCAATTGAATTTATTATTTCTTCAGTCAAATAGAATACTTAATTATTATATATACCAGTCTTTTCTTTTTTTGAGTCCTGAATTTCCTATCATGCTCAGAAAAACTTCCTTCATCCTAACATTGTAAAAATATTCTTTTATATTTTTCTGGAATTTTTATAGAACATTAATCCATGTGCTTTAATCCCCATACAGTTTTTACTATATAGTTTCCCAAATGGAGAACAATTTTATTTCAGTGCCATGTATTGAGATGCCACCTTTACTGTATAATAAACTTATTTATGTGTATGGCTGATTCTGGGAATCTTCATTTTCTTACCCTGAGTTATTTTGCTTTTGCCTGTGTCCTGTTCACTGTAAATGTGTTTGGATACCTGATAAGGTCAGCCCAACTCTTGAGTTTTCTAGTATTTTCAAAATGGTCTTTTAATTTAGCTTTGAGGAAGTTGGTGTTTAAATTCTTCTAATTTGGGATGCATTTACTACATAAAGTGTTATTGGTTCCATAAAAATATTTGCCTGGGTCTGTCAGACCTTGCTTGAAACACTGCAGATGGCCTTGCATGTGCATATGCATTTTTGGAAAGGGTATAAAAGAAGAGAGACTCAAGTAGCACGTTCTACTTGTGTGAGTGTTAAGTTTATTACATTTATGTAACATAAATGCTTTCATATAATAAATATTTGTTGAGCATTTCATTATAATTTCCTTAATGTCCACATTTGTTTTTGAGGTGATTATAATTACCCCCATCTTTAAATTAGCAATCTAAGGCTCAGTTTTGTTGACATATCCACCTTCATCTAGCTGAAGTAGCACCTGGGTTCTAATAAGCATCTTAAACTTGGCGTGTTTAGTCAGAATTCCTCATCTGCCTCCTCACATCTGTTCCGCACACAGCCTTCTTCGTCTCAAGAACAGCTTCATCCCTCTTAGCCATTGCTGAGAGCCCCAGTCCTAGCCGTCACCCTTGTCCCTGACCTTAGGAAATCCTGTTGATTCTACCTTGTGAATATATTCCGAACCCCACTCTGTCCCACTAGTTCCACAGCTGTCACCTTGTACAAGCCACCATCGTCTCAAGTGGATTCTGGCAGTGACCTTCCAGCTGGCCTCCCTAGCCCGTCCTCAGCCCCAAGCGCCTGCTGTAGCCTCTCTCCACAGCTGCAGCACTGAGCGTTTTAAGCAGAGTAGGTCTGCTCTTGTCTGCTCAAGCTCCCTGCCATCTCCCATTTCCCTCAGAGTTAAGCCGAAGTCTTCACAGTGGGGTATGGGGCCCTTCTCATGTGTGCGACATTGCTCCTCTGGCCCGCTGTGACAGTCTCCTTGTTCCTTGTGCCGTCTCACAGTTTCTCTTACCTGTAAAGTAGCAATAACAAAACCTGCCCCTCCTGAGATTTTAAAGAAACAATATATATAAACCACTTTGATACATGTGTGGCACAGACCATGCACTGGATAGATACTGGAAGAAATATTATTTTGTTATTTATCTAGGGTTCTTTTATTGCTCTTAAATCACAAAATAATAATACCAAGTATTTAAATAGCACTTACCATGTACTAGAATATTTTAATTGCATATGTGAACTTGTTTCATAACTCACGAACTTTTTTTTTTAAAGATGTTATTTATTTATTTGAGAGAGAGAGAATGAGAGAGAGAGAGAGCACGAGAGGGGGGAGGTCAGAGGGAGAAGCAGACACCCCGCCGAGCGGGGAGCCCGATGCGGGACTCGATCCCAGGACTCCAGGATCATGACCCAAGCTGAAGGCAGTCGCCCAACCAACAGAGCCACCCAGGCGCCCAATAACTTACGAACTTTTTAAATTTTACAACAACCCTCTGAGATAGGTACTATTGTTTCCACTGTTTTACAGATGAAAGAGAAGCACAAAATGGAAAAGTACCTTGTTCAAGGTTAAATAGCTAGTAAGTGAGAAGGCCTAGATTTGAAACCAGACAGATTGCTATCAAAGTCGGTGCTCTTAAGGACCATACTTCATCGCTTGTCAAGTATCTATTATTTTAAAAACAGCAGTTATCTTCTTAATTGCCCATAGCACCTAGTCTGTATTATTTTTTAATGACTTCAGTAAACAAAGATGTTTACAGACTTAAAAATGTAAATTGAAATTTTTATGTATGTTGTTACATTGTTATCTCTTAATATATGTTTAAGAAAACCTTGTTGTTATCCAGTTCTTTAACTTTTTTTCTAGCTAGTTTTCATCCTAAATCTTTTTTTTTTTTTAATTTGGCCAACCTTCAGTTAACTGACTAAAAATTTTTCAACTTTATTCACTGTTGTTCAAAGTCATTCTTCCTAAAGAGCAGTTTCAAAACTTGTAGAAGAATGTAAATGTTCATTGAAGTGAATATTTGTTCCCAATATCTTCTCTCCTAGTAAATGAACTGTCCACTCTCATGGAAGATGGACGTTCTCATGTTCTTCTAGCAAAAGTTTATAGTAAAATGGAAAGACCTGGAGATGCAATCACTTCATTACAACAGGTAAATGTGTTTGGTTGTGAGTGGTTGTGGGGTGGGAGGTGGGAAAAGAAGGCAAAATGCTATGTGTAAGAGGAAGACAATTTATTTCTGCTCAACTGCCACAGAAAATAAGCCAAAATAGAAATAGTGATTGAATGCGAATGGATTGTACTGCTTAAATGTGTTTTTGCTAATTAATATAACAATTAGAGCAAGTTGATATTTTTAATCTCTTATAGCTGAGGAAGCTTGGTTTAATAATTTGTGTAAAGTCACATGAATAGGGTCATAGGCAGAATGTGAACTCATTTTTTTTCTCTTTTGTTTATTTATATCTTTCTTAATTTCTCTTAATATTTTGAGGTTTTTCTAAGGAGAGGTTTTATATACATTTGCTTAGATGTATTCCTAAGCAGCTGATGGTTTTTGATGATTTTTCAATTTCTAGTTTGTTACAATTTTTTTTTTTTTAAAGATTTTATTTATTTATTTGACAGAGAGAGACACAGCGAGAGAGGGAACACAAGCAGGGGGAGTGGGAGAGGGAGA